TTGTACTTGTAGTTAACAATATTTTCTTATACATTTAAGGTTTTGTAAAGAGGTTAAATCTTGTGTTAAGTATTCTTAAAATAAGATAAAAGAAAATAGAAAGATAAAAAAATAAGCCTAAAGCAAGCAGAAGAGGTGAGTAATAATGACAAAAGATAAAAAATCAATGAAACTGAAAACAGAAACACAATGGAGAAGTCAATCAAAATAAAAGAATCATAGAGGAATACTACAAGTAATTCTTTATACATAAATTTGACAGCTTAGATGACATTGAACAATTACAATTCCTTGAAAAACACAAACTATCAAAACTTACTTAAGATCAGATAGATACTCTGAATAATCCTATAAATATTAAAGAGATTGAATTGTACTTAGAAACCTTTTATAGTGGAGTATAAAAGTGGTCCAGGCCCATATGATTTCCCTGTGAATTCTAGTATATATTTAAAGAGGAGGTAACACCAATTTTACACCATCTGTTCCAGAAAATAGATGAGTAGGTTATCTTCCCATCTCAGTTTATGAGATGATCATGATCCTCCTGATCCCAATACTTGATGAAGACAGGAAAAAAAAAGAAAAGAAAAGAAAACTACAGACCAATATCTCTCATGAATTTAAATGTTAACTTGTTAACTTACATGTTAAAATCCTCCACAAAATATTGGTAAACCAAATCCAACCATATATAAACAAAATTATACACCATGACTAAGTGGGATTTATTCCGGGTATATAAGGCTGCTTTAACACTTAAAAAATAAATCAGTATAGGGGCACCTGGTTGGCTCAGGTAAGCTTCTGACTCTTGATTTTTGGCTCAGGTCATGATCCAGGGGTGGTGAGTTAGAGTCTGGCATTAGAGCCTGCTTAAGATCCTCTCTCCTTCTCTACCTCCCTCGCTCATTCTTTCTCTAAAAATAACTAAATAGAGAGAGAGAGACAGAGAGATGGATTTAAAACTAAATATATCACTCTAATCCACCACATCAGTGAGTTAAAGAATGAAAATTATATGATCATAACTATTAATATAAAAAGAACATTTGGTAGTATCCTATACCCATTCGTTAGAAGAATTCTCATCATTGTAGCAACAGATTGGTAATACTGAACTTGATATAAAGTATATATAAAAAGCAACAGCTAAACTTCTACTTCCATTATGAAACTGAATGGTTTTCTCCTAAGACTGGGAATAGGGTAATGCTATCTGCTCTCATCCCTCCTATTTAATAATCTGCTGGAAGTCACATCCAGTGCAGTCGACAAGAAAAGAAATAAAAGGCCTAGAGATTGGAATGAAAAAATAAAACTTCTCTATTTGCAGATCGTATATATCCCTGTGTACAAAATTCCAAACTATCTACAAAACATGTTAGAACTAGTATGTAAATAGCAAGGTTGTAGGATACAAAGTCCACACACAAAAATTAATTGTATTCCTATACACTAACAATGAATAACTGGAAAAATTAAAATTGTACAAAATGAAAAATGTTCAATTTATAGTTGCTCCAAAAGTACTGAGTTGCCTACGTATAAATTTAGCAAAATATCTATGAGATTAGTATGTGAAAACTATAAAAAACTGATGTGGAAAATCAAATGGCATAAATGAGACACATATTGTATACTGTGTTCATAGATTGGAAGACTCAGTAAAAATGTCAGTTCTCAAGTCTCCCTACTTATATAATTAAATTTGTGTAGAAATTCCCACAGGGTTTTTTTTTTATAGCCACAGACCATGTGATACTAAATTTATATTTAAAAAAAACAAAGAAACTAGAATAGTTCATCAATTTTGAAAAATACTCAATATTAAGTATTATATAACTATAGTAATCAAAACTGGTATCGGTGGCAGGATCAACACCTAGATTTTTGACCATGGAGAATGGATAACCTTTCAACAAATAGTTTTGGAGCACTTGGATAGGCATCCGGGAGAAAGTGAAACTCGAGCCAGACCTCACATGTTATATAAAAGCTGACCCTAAAGTTAATCACAGATCTAAAGGTAAAACATATAAGGTTTTACCAGATGTATCCATAAAGGTATAATCCAGAAAAATTACCAAGTTTGACCTCAAATTAGAAACCTGGTATGCTAAAGTTCCAGTTAAGAGGATGGAAAGACAAGCTATGACTCATTCTAGGGACTGGAAAGAAGTATTACAAGTCACCTATTCAACAATGAATTCACATACAAAATGTTAAGAACTCTAAACTCAGTAGTAAGAATACCAAAAATCCAAGCAGAAAATTGGCAAAGGGTTTTAGGTAACATTTCACTAAAGAATGACATAGATAGAGAGATAGAGAGATATGTATGTAAATATGCACATGAAGATGTTTAGCATCATTACCAGTTAAGAAACTATTCAGGAAATACAGAGAACTATTAGATATAGATAATATATAACATAAATATAGAAAAAACGCTTTGGGGGATTAAAGACCCGAATGTAAGACCTGAAATAAAAATCCTAGAAAAGAGCACAGGCAGTAATTTCTGTGACATTGGCCATAGCAACATCTTTCTAGATATGCACTCTGGGGCAAGGGAAACAAAAGCAAAAATAAACTACTCGGACTACATCAAAATAAAAAGCTTCAGCACAGCGAAGGAAACAACAGAACTAAAAGGCAACCTACTGAAAGGGAGAAGATATTTGCAAATTGCATATCCAATAAAAGGTTAGTATCCAAAATATATAAAGAACTTACAAAACTCAACACCCAAAAAACAACCAATTTTTAAAAATGGACAGAAGACATGAACAGACATTTTTCCAAAGAAGATATCCAGATGGCCAACAATCATGTGAAAAGATGCTCATCATCACTTACCGTCAAGGAAATGCAAATCAAAATTACAATGAGATATCACCTCACATCTGTCAGAATGGCTAAGATCAACAACAGAAGAAACAAAAAGTGTTGATGAGGATGTGAAAAAAGGAACACTCAGGCACCCTTGGTGGGAATGCAAACTGATGCAGCCACTGTGGAAAACAGTATAGAGGTTTCTCAGAAAATTTAAAATATAGTTACCATAGGATCCAGTAATTCCACGACTGGGTATTTACACAAAGAATATGAAAATGCTAATTCAAAAGGAGGCACCCCCCTATATTTATTGCAACATTATTTACAATAGCTAAAATATGGAAGCAACACAAGTGTTAATGGATAGATAAATGGATAAAGAAGTTGTATATATAAACAATGGGATATTTATTATTCAACCATATAAAAGAATGAAATTTTGCCATTTGCAACAACACGATTAGACCTAGAGGATATAATGCTAAATGAAATAAGTCAATCAGAGAAAGACAGATACCTTATGGTTTCACTTGTTTGAAATTTAAGAGTCAAAACAAATGAGCAAAGGGGAAAAAAGGACAAAGCAAGAAACAGACTCTCTTTTTTAATTTTTTAATGTTTATTTTTGAGAGAGAGGGAGAGAGAGAGAGAACATGAGTGGGTGAGGAGGAAAGGCAGAAAGACAGGGAGACACAGAATCTGAAGCAGGCTCCAGGCTCTGAGCTGTCAGCACAAAGTCCAACGCGGCTCAAACTCACAGACTGCTAGATCATGACCTGAGCCTTGGGCGCTTAACTGACTGAGTCACCCAGGTGCCCCAACAGCCCCTTAACTATAGAGAACAAATTGATGGTTACCAAAGGGGAGGTAGTTGGGGAGACTAGTGCATTTGTCATGATGAGTGGATGATTAAAATAAAAACAGAAAAAAATGTCTTGGAGAAATAATTACATAGCTAATAGAATGGCCAACATCAAAAATACGTGAGTGAAAAATAGGCTTAAAAATAACCAATAAAGAACATGTCTCTTATATGGACCCATGTGAGAGAGGGAGGTGCTTGAATTGTTTCCTAGAAGAAACAAATTTTTTGTAACCAGAAAGTGGTTCCATGTAAGCCTTCCTAGTAAATTGCCTGAAGAGATATCAAATAGAAGGAGGTCTAAAGCATTTAGGATTCAGTAATTTGACTAAATTTTCACCTCCATTCCTTCTTTTATATTACTGATTTATTTTCTTTTCATTAAACTGGGCCTCCTAAATCCTGTAAGCTTTAGCCTTGCAAAACCCGATTGTCATTCACAAATGAGAGAGGTTAAAAAGTAATGGAAAGTCATTGTGAATTCATTTGGTGGCAAAACACTTGCTTGGAAAGACTGCTGCTATTTGTTCATAACAGTCTTGTAAATATAAACCTTCTATCAGAATATATTTATTATTTATGTACCAAGTTGTTTTAAAAAGGCCGTAAAGTGACGTAAATGATTGGTTTAGTACAAGGTAAAACCTAGCTAAGTCCATAGAGGCAGTATATTAGTGTTTAATTCTGTGTGAGGTGTGGGCTCAGACTTCCTTGGTTTGAACACCAGCCCTACAACTAACTTGTTGTCACCCTTTTTGTATCTCAGCGTTCTCATCTGTAAAATGGGAATAATAATAGTGCCTATTAACATAAGAGTTTTTGTGAAAATAACTTAGTACATGTAAAGCATTTAGAATAGTAACTGGCACATGAGTCTTCAGTAAGTGTTAGCTTATCAGTATTAGCTCTGAATTGTGAATATTTCAAGAAGATTATTGAAAATCTTCATTTGAAAGTAAACTAAAATGTTGTCTTTGCCTAAAGTACTCCTTTATTTGTTGTTTTATTGTAGAGGTAGTGTAGAGACCTTCTACATACCAAAAGAACCAACAGATATTAAGAACTAAAAAAAGAGAAATTTCATGGAAAGCAAACATTATGTTTCTTGAATTTAATTCTTTTGTAAGCCATTTCCTCAATTTTTTTCTTAAATATGTTCTGAATATTATTTTTCACTATGTAAACTTCAGAACAACTCATTTCCTATTATTCAAAATCTTAACTTTAAGCAATTGTACTTTGGGACTTTTCAAAATCTGTTCCTATTAATCACTATTTTTTCCTTTTCCCTTTATAGGTCACCATTTGCTGCTGTCACAGACTATTCAGTTACAAGGAATAATGTCATACAGCTCTGCTTGGAATTAACAACAATTGTGCAACAGGTATTAGCTGGCAACCTTTCCTTCTCTTAATTTATTATCTATTTTATAAACAGTGAGTAGTATTCCTTTTTACCAAGAGTTTGTAAGATACTGGTTTGGGAGTTTCTAACTCAAAGACAAATGGTTCTAAATAAACCAAACATGTGGTTTGGGAAACTATTCATATAGCTCAATAAACAAGCATTTTATTTACTAGAAGATGTAAAAATGTAAAAGTATACTGAACTCCTAGAAAAATCATTATAAGATCATAAGTCTGATGCTCTCACATTTTAGTGGGAAGGACTGTACTGCTTTTCACAAAATCAAATTGCTCCATTTAGATAACATTCTAAGACTTTGGCTCTAAAACACTGTTTGTTCTTTATTAGTACAGTTATTAGTTTCATTTATATATTGCACATATGAAAAAATATACATAATAGCTTTTAACAGTGATCTGTTTACATGACCTGATTTTGTTTTTACTTTGAATACTATCCAAACTAGGGATCCCCAAATCAAATGCCTTCAGGAGTTCCACAGCTAATATAAATCAAGCCTGGCATAAGATATGGAGAAATGGTAGAGTGATGAATTGACTAGTACATATTTTATAAAATTTAATTAAATCTAATAACAAAACACATCTGAGAAGTCTGAAGCCTGCAGCCACCATGCTGTGTAAGCCACGAAGGCAGCCTCTTGCTGCTGCTGATTTCTTGGGTGCTGGCATTTGTTAACCTATCCAATGTTTCAGAAAGAAAGCAGACAATAAAATAAGATGATACAGGAGATTTTGGGGGAAACTGATGATTTAATTTTTTCTTCTACTCCCTATCTTTTATTACCAGGGATAATTATAGGAAGGTGGGTAACTTTGTGACATTTAATTGTGAACATATCAGACGTTCATCAATATTATATCATGGCATTGAGAAAGTCAACAACTCTTCGTTACTCAGAGACTTGCATGGAGAGAGTGGACATTTTTATGAGCTTTGAGATACCCTAACAGTCTCACTGCATGTCTTTCTATTTGATATCAATAAATGTAATTTCTGAATTTCCAAGATCTCAACTGGATGATGGGAAAAAGACTGGCATTTTAGGACAAGGTTGAGCAAACGTTTTATAAAATATCAGATGTTAGGTATTTAATGTTTTGTAGGCTGTGCCCCTTGGGCCATCTTTTGCCGACGTTTGTTCTAGGGCAGTGTTAGTCCAGTGTGGTCTGTGAACCAACAACATTATGATCACATGACTATTTGTTAGAAATTCAGATTCTTGGGATACACCCCAAATGTACTGTGGGGAGGGCCCAGAAATCTGCATGTTTACTAGTTTTTCAAGTGTTTTTGATTCTCCTACATTGTTCTAGAGCTCAGGGATAAAAAAAAGCAATAACATAATCTGTAGGTTATTTGTTCTTATAGCTATTTGTTATCTATGACATTTCTTAAAAATATACTTTTTTAAAACTGTATTTCTTTTAAAGGAATTAAACTTAACCAAAGATTTAAGGTATGGATAACAGAGTATTAGTCTTTTCCTTTTACTATGAGAAATTCTCTCTGATTTAGAGATGCATATTACACAGTATTTTTATAGTAATCTTTCATAGTCTTTTTTATAGATAGTGGTCATTAGGAATCTATATTAAACAATCATAATAATACAAGAATTATTAATTGTTACATGATAATATCTGTGATAACTGTATTATGTGCATTATTTAAGATTTTTATGTATATGTGAGACCCAAACCAGTGGATATATGCTGAAATTAAATGTGAGAATTAAAAGTTTATTTTTCAACTTTTTATACATGAGAAACTCCTATTGTCAATTCTATAAGAATGCAATCCATCTGATATTATCTTGCAAAGTAACTTCATTTCCAAGCATAATTATGACAGAAAGTGGGTGTTTTTCAGTTCTTGCATCTCCTCCAAACATCTGGACCTGGATAGCCTATTTAAAAGTTTACTTTTGAGTAATTTGATAACTCTCTGTTGCCTTATAAACCAAGACTGCAAATCTAAATGGCAATTATGATGTTTTCTTAAAAATCTTGAAGAATACTCAGATGTATTCATTTTCCCTTAATTAATGCATAGAGTTTCCCTCTATCAAAAGGGGATCAACAAAGTGATCTTGAAAAAAAATACCTTTATTTTAAGTATAAAGAGATATCATAATTGGAGAGTTTTCTATGTTTAGAACTCACAGGTTCCAGAGCATACCTTTGTCATTCTAACCTTCAGATGTTACATTGGGAAGAATGGCTGAAATGATTTTCAGTGAATTAAGATTTCCTGTAGAGAAATTGTCCAGTAGTTGAAGTGCGATTTCTGTCAGATATGACTAACTCCAACCCATTCTGCTATTTTAAGAACGTACCATCTAAATAACAAGTAATTCAGGTTTTGTTCCAGAATATATGAATATCTGCTATTGACAACTACTTCACAATAAACATATGCCATTCTAATATTGCCCTCAGAGGCTTATTTCTGCTGTCAGTGCAACCTTTAACAGGTACACTGTGTGGCACAACATTCTCCTTAGGAATTTACTTCAAGACACTTAAGCCTAAACTAATGGGTTTGAGTTTTGCTGTTTACAGGTCAGGAAACATTAGGTAGAGTAGAGAGACATGCTTTCAGCAGTTGAACTTGATGTACATTCTGTCTTGACCAAATACAGAATTATTGAAAACACTCCAAATAATTGAAATACTCCAAATATACTCAGATGTAGAAGGACCTTCTGTACTTGCCACCCACTGTACAATCTGATTTAAAGAGAATGTCTTGCTGTTCTTAGGACATTTTGCTCTGACATTACCTGTTTAGATTTTTTAAAGTTCAGTAGCTCTTAACATTTGTCACAATTCCTTCTATCTCACTCTCATTTTCCCATCACATGGCCTGTTCCACTTGTCCCCTTTAAGATGTTTCCAAACAAAAACCCCTGTATGTAGGTAGGTTTGGTTCTTGCCTTGCCCAGTCCTTCCCAACTTGTACCTGACCAGATAACTTAATTCATCTACTTAAACTAGATCTTTTCTGTTGTATCTTAAGGGAAATATTAAGATACCAATTTCTCTTAATAAAATACATCTTCATGATATCCTGATGTAATTTACTTGTAAATATACAATCAATCACTTTCAGACTAGTCATCCCAAAGTCCAGCTTTAATTTTGTTGCTTTTAGCAATTTTCCTCTAATTTTGATTACAAACTCCTTTCTTTGGAATTCAAGGGCATTCCAAGTGTGGTGCTACCATAATTTCAGTTTTACCTTCCAGTACTCCCATATATCTTAATTGTAGTCTAGTTCTTGTGGATGACTTTCTGTTGGTAAAATAGATTTTGCAGTCTCATTGTTTTATGATGTGTGATCTCCTCAGAACATGCCCCATATATATTTATCTCAGACTGGTAAAATCATGTTCTATTCTTTAAGACCTCTAGGAAGTGCCTCATTTATGAAACTTTTACTATATCTCACAGCTCTTTGCACCTTCTTCCTACTTGACCGTTTATAGTTAATGTAATGATTGAAATGGTTGGGATCATAATTGCCACCTTGCTGTTTGTCTTCTAGGTTTTCCATGTGTTCTTTATTCTTTCTCTTTTCTGTTTAAATTTTTATTATTTTTGTATGATTCCATTTTGTTCTGTTGACTTATTAGCTATAATTCTTTGTTGTCTGAGCAGATATAGAAATCCCTTAAACTTACTACTTTACATAGCATTTCACATCTTACCTATGAAAGTTATATTCTGCTATGAATAATAATTCTCTAACTTCCATTAAATTATAAACTTATTAAAGACAAGAATTTTGTCTTACTGATTTTCATATATAGTAGGTGCTCATTATACTTGTTAAATAAATTGACCTGAGACCCAGTTATTCCCTGTGGTTAGCACATGCTCATTTGTATTCTTCCAAGAAAATTTTGGAATTAGATGCTTGAATTGTTACTCATTTTATTTCATCACCTGTGTAAAAGCTGTCGTTCTTTCTCTGTTAGTTATATAAAGAACCCCAGAGAGGGGTGCCTGGGTGGCTCAGTCAGTTAACTGTCTGATTCTTGATTTTGGCTCAGGTCATGATCTCACTGTTTCTGAGATCCAGTCCTGCATCCAGCTCTGTGCACTGACAGTGCAGAACTTGCTTGGGATTCTCTCTCTCTCTGCCCCTCACCTGTTTGTGTGCTCTCTCTCTCTCTCTCTCTCTCTCTCTCTCTCTCAAAAGAAGTAAATTCAGGGGCATCTGGGTGACTCAGTTGGTTAAGCATGTGACTTCTGCTCAGGTCATGATCTTGCAGTTCTTGAGTTTGAGCCCCGCATCGGGTTCTGTGAGAACAGCTCAGAGCCAGGAGCCTGCTTTACATTCTGTGTCTCCCTCTCCCTGCCCCTCCCCTGCTCACTCACTTTCTCTCTTTTTCTCTTTCTCTCTCTCTCTCTCTCCCCCCCTCTCAAAAATAAAATAAACATTAAAAATTTAAAATAAGTAAATAAACTGAAAAAATATTTTTAAAAAAGAACCCCAGAGATATCCAGAGATACCCATTGCTTTACATGTTAGTTTATTCATTGAATTAAAATAAGAGTATTGATCCTTATAACCACTTTCCAATGTAGAATGAAAGTGAACAGGACTTCTGAAACACCATGCAAATATAGACTACTAACAAAACATATCTTTTAGAAGAAACAGTTATAAGCATGATATATTCATGTTTGTAAATTATCTCTTAAAATAATCTATTATTTTTCTACTGTTAGGTGATGTCATATATTTGGTACCAAGTTTTTTTGGGCTCTAGTCTGTTACTACCTTTCATAGCAATAGGAATGAGGCTGATAGGTACAATAATGAAATAAAATAGCTAAGTGTTTGTTTCTTGATAATTAAACTGTGATTTTATTTCATTTAAACTCTAATTTTCTATATTTTACAAATTTTCTAAAATGAATTCAAGTTGTCAGAACCAAAAAAAAA